ATTGAAGATCTGTACAGGTGCCAAGTTGACAAGGGGTGGAATTGTGGTGGTTATGTTTTTGTGTCAACTTGGCTGGGCCTGGTTGAGTGGCTGGTGGTAGTTATTCCCCATGATGAGACTGGCAATCAACTCCATGGTGGGATCTACCACAAGCAGCTGAGTAGCTGCCTTTGGGATGTGGTCTGCTTCCTGTATTTAAGGAGAAGCCTTGGGATGGTCTCTAGTCTTTGGTACGCTTGGACCCTGCATGTAGCCAAGTCATTGCCCAGCAGCCTGCTATACTCTGTCAACCTTGGGACTTACAGTGGACTTAAGTTAGTGGTCTGCTGTGTGGATTGGTAACATCAGGACTGTGCCTTTTTACTTGTCAACCTTGGGGCTTCTCAGCCTCAGCAGCCAACAGCTGTCTGAGTGAAGAAATGCCTCTAGCTCCAGTGGGCTGGGAGCAGGAGGCAGAGCTGGACCCCAAGGTTGAGGGGCTTTCACCCAGCCCCTGGAGCCTGGCACTTTGAACTTGGACTTAAAGCCTCCAAATTGTAAGAATAAACTCCTGTTTGTTAAGGCCATCCCATTTGTGGTATGTTTCCTGTCAGAGTGGCACTAGGTAACCAAAATAGTGACCTTTTGCTTTCTTCATCTGTGATGTTCTTGATGTCCTCTGACAATTCATCTGGTTTTCGGTCATTAGTGTCAAATGCATCAAATCTATTTATTCTTCTGATGGTCTCTAAATTCATGTGGGATATAATCAAGGTCATGTTTTGGCTCTCATTGATTTGTTTTAATTGTCTTCAGCTTCAATTTTAACTTGCATATGAGCAACTGATGGTTTATTACACAATCATCTCCTGGCGTTTGGTTTTGGTTAAAACCGAAAACCCTGGTGTGTGATTAATCTTCCTGAGGAATTGAGTGTACTTGCTCTCATGAAACTATGACTTAGTAAAGGTGAGTGGCTCCTAAGTTGTGTTCACTAGGTTCCTGACAGGTAAAAGATGAGTGGCCACCTGGGAGATAGGAGGAAAACAGTAGAAACATCTTTCCAACTGAATAATTAGAAGAGCACAAGAGGTAGACATCTTGTCTAAAGAAAGAAATAAAAACCAGAGCCAGACTGATGTTCTTCAGGTGACATAATAAGATGGGAGAAAATGGACTTGTCAAAGGAAAGACTCCAAGTGGCAATAATGCCACAGGGCCAAGTCCCGGAGAACCTTTCACCTGTTCTGTGATATGTGCCTACCCAGGCTTGCAGTTTACAAATGTTACCATAACCAAGTTTCACCTCTTACCAGCTGTCTTAGGCTAGGCTTTCTGGAGAAGCAAAACCAATGAAGCTTATATGTGTATACACAGAGAGAGATTTATCATGAGGAAATGGTTCACATGGCTTTAGAGGCTGGCAAATCACAAGTCCATGGGTCACATGTCAGGCTAGAGGCTTCTCCTAACTCATGTGGCTTCAGGGGCTGACAAATCCAAGGTTGGCTGATCAGACAGCAGGCTGCTGGTTTTTGAGCTGCAGAGACTAAAAATCACAGATGGCCAGGTGATATGACAGGTTCACTAGTTCAAGTCCCAAGAAATGGAGGTCAAATGATGAGAGCTGGATTCAGATGCAGAGCAAGACCAAAGGTAGAGAGCTTTGCCAGAACATCCATATATACTTGATGCAGCAACATCCCTGAGGACATTCCCTTTCAACTGATTGGCTGCTCAGAGCAGATCTCATATTATGTTATATCATATCTCACCATGGGGGATGACAGTATCATTACATAAGTGCCAAACTACATCATAACTGCTGAACCAGAGAATCAGGGCCCAGTCAAGTTGATTTTAACCATCACACCAGCTATATGACTTCGGGCAAATTACTCAACCTTGTTGAGCTTCAGTTTCTTCATATATAAAATGGAAATAACAAAAACTGAATCCCAGAATTCTTGTGAGAATTAATTGGAATAATCCCAAGAGTTGTGTGTGTAAGTAAAAAAACATCTGACTGAGTGAACATAGTTTGTTGATGGAATCAAGTATTTAAATGTGAAGGCAACTTTCCCTTCTTGATCCTGGAATCATTCTTTCATAATTCCCAGTGGGAAACATCACACCAACATTAATGATCAACTGTGCATCCAGTAATGGCCACTTTACCAGACCAGCCTCCCCTTGTGGGGCTAAGAACTACCCCTCCATATGGTCCCACTAAGAAGGCCTCATTGGGACTATTTATGCATTATTATCAATCCCTACAAATATTCATAGTTTTTCAATCTCTAAAGCACTTTGTTGTTGTTGTTAGGTGCCATGTAGTCAGCTATGACTCAGAGTCACCCTATGTACAATAGAATGAAACACTGCCAAGTTCTGCATCACCCTCTCAATCCTCGCTATGCTTGAGCCCATCATTGCAGCCACTCTGTCAATTCATCTCATTGAAGGTCTTCCCCTTTTTTGCTGACCCTCTACTTTACCCAGGAGCACTGGTAGCATAGTGTCTAAGGTATTGACTGCTAACCAGAAGGCTGGCAGTTCAAACCCACCAGCCACTCCTGGGAAGGAAGGTTGGGCAATCTACTTCCGTAGTGATACCGCCTCAGAAACCCAAGGAGGGGTCACTATGAGTCGGGTCCGACTTGACGGCACATAACAACAACAACTACTTTACCCAGCATGATATCCTTCCCCAGGAACTGATCCCTTCTGATAACATGACCAAAATACGAAAGGCAAAATTTGGCCATTCTCACTTCTAGGGAACATTCTAGTTGCACTTATTCCAAGACAGATTTGTTCATTCCTCTGGCAGTCTGTATTATTTTCAGTATTCTTCCCAGATAGTGAGAGTTAAATGCACTGGCATTTTATGAGCTTAAATGGGCTTCATGAGGTTTTCTAAGGAAATGTCAGTGAGGCCCAGGAAAGGCCACAAAAGAAGTCTGTATCTGAGTGCGTGGCTCAGGAATAGGTTGGAAAAAGAGAGAATATGGGGAGGCTGAGCTAGAGAGAGACAGAATTTATCCATCCATTCAGTGATTACTGAGTGCCTAACATGGTCCAGACACTGTTCTCACTATTCTCAATAAACAAAATAAGACCAAGTCCCTGTCCTCAAGAGGTTTACACTCTAGTGAGTGTGGAGAAGAAAGGAGGGGAAAGCTAACACAGAGTTTAATAGTGAAAATAGGAGTGACTATTGAGAGGATCCACCACCTGTCAGTTAGTCTTACCGTAGTGGCTTGTTTGTTGCTATGATACTGGAAGCTATGTCATTGATATTTTAAATACCAGCAGGGTCACCCATGGTGGACAAGTTTCAGTGGAGCTTCCAAAGTAAGACAGACTAGAAAAAAAGACCTGGCAACACTTCTGAATATTAGCCAATTAAAACTTTATGATCACAACAGAACAGTGTCTGATGTAGTGCTGGAAAATGAGCCCCTTAAGTTGGAAAGCACTCAAAATACTCAATGGCTACAACAGTGAACTTGAGCAAAGCAACAATCATGAAGATGGCACAGAACCAGATGGTGTTTGGTTCTGTTGTACTTAGGGTCACCATGAGTCAGAGCCAACTTGAGAGCTACTAATAACAATAATAGAGAGAGGGGCAACCAGAAAGACAGACAGAGAAAGCTGTGCTGCCAAGTCTGAGAGAATGAATAAATTTGGGCTTATGACAGACAGATGCTGACAACAGCCTGGCCTTCCTTATGACCAAAAGAAACGAAGGGAGTTCAAGGTGGAAAAAGAACTGGGTGAGGAGGCTGAGAGGATAAAGAAGGGAGTATGGTGGTGAAAAAGGTGGGTTGATGGGGAAGGTGCTCCAAGTGGAAATTATCCTCGCAGGATGGGGATTGTAGTAGACACCAGGAGAGGAGAATGTTCTGGAAACACTTCCAGTGGTGGTGTTTATCCTCCTCATGCCTCCCTCCCCACAAAAGGCCCACTTCTTGGGCCCTGGGGCATTGCACAGGCTATGGGGAGGGTGCACTCACCTGGACCCTTGAGGGTGAAGTACACACTTGGGGAAGAGAATGAGAACCTCCACCAGAGGCATGGCCTTCTGGAAACCTCATCACCTCCAGCTAGCTCCCCCCACCTCCCATCTTCCCATCTGCACTTTCTCAGAGTGATCCCTCCCCCTCCTTCCAAGTGGGGAGCTCCTGAGAAAATCAAAGCAAGGGCGGCAAGACCAAAGTGTGACTAAATCAAGAGAATGTGTCATCACTTGGGAATAAAAGCATCAAATAAAAGTGGGGTTGTTGGCTCCAAAGTTTTTCTCCCCCTTTCTCCTCCACCTTTCTTTTCTTCCTTTATCGAGGCCCACTATTTATTCAGCAAATACATTCAAAGGCTGCGGTTCTTTGGGGCACAATGTGCTAAGTGATGTGTGTAAGGGAGGAGATCCACTTCTAAGAAGCTTAACTTCTCGGGGAGGAAAAGCTAAGCATCAACAATACGGCTTTCTCTGACTCTCTGTGTCTCTGGGAATTAAAATGTATTCAGTCCCCACCTGGCCCTGGTACCAACTCTCTGGACACAGCCCTCTTACCACAGGTGCATCTCAGTTAGTCCTGGCTCCCCTCCTCGCTTCTTCAGGTTCCAAGATAATTCTGGAATCAGCTTTCCCACCTGGTCAGGGTGAGACTATGAGGCCCCACCCTCAAATACCTGGGCTTTGATCTTTTGCAAAGGATGGGGGGACAGAAGAAAAGCACCCGGAGGGGACCACAGAGGGACTGAGGATGGCTAGAAAGGACAAAACCCACTTCAGTTTACAACCAGAAAAAAGAAGGCGCTGAGAGAAGCAAATTTCCTAACTGCTTGTGTTTTATTGTTGATCAGCAGAGAGGGGCAGGGGAGACAGTGAGTAGTGGAGACAAAGCTGGTAGAGAAGCTGGTTGAATCTTGATTCAGCTCACAGTGCAAGGATGGGAGGCAGGACTCCCCTCTCTGACTTCTACCTTAGGGATCCTACCCCACCCGTCACACTTCTAACTCCATTGTGACCCAGCATCATGAGAATTGGGGAAGCCAGTCGGAATGTTCCAAGAAGAGCCAGGAGGACGGAGAATTCTGGGAGGAAATTGATTACTGGTACCTGGGAATGGGTGAATATTCCCCCAGGTGGCCCCTGGATACCTAATAATATTCCCCCAGCTGCCACCTGGGTATCGATTGATATTCCCCCAGCTGGTGCCTGGGTATTGATTATTGTCACCCCAGCTTCCTGCATAGGATGGTGGCATGGGCCTTGTCCCCCAGCCAGTTCCAGGACGCCCACTTCCCCAAGACACACTGGGAATCAGGGTCCCCCAGGGGTGACCAGGCAGAAGTGGTTGACGGATCCTGTTAATGAGAGACCAGGGTGGGTGCTGGGAAGGGATTTCCCCTAGGGCTCCCAGGAGATTAGAACAACATGGCTGTCTAGGCCCAGAGTCCTGGTGGAGGAGGGAAGCACCTGGGGAGGCGCCTGCAGAGTATGCGGAAGGACCTTCACGCAAAGGGCCACTGCTCATAGGGAGGGCAGCAAGTCTTTCTGGCAGCAAGTCCCCAGGATGGTCCTCAACTGCAGCAGCCATCAACGGCCAAGAACCCCGAGGGGGCCAGGAGTCCACAGAAGGCAGCCCCTCGGATGAAGGCCAATTCTGCACCCCAGGACCTCCTGCAGCCTGAGAGCCATCAGATAGAGACATCATGGGCTTCAGGTGACCCTTTGCCATGCCATTAGACCCAGCATCTGCCTTGGTCTGAGGATGTTCAGAGTCAGAGGACCTGGCCAAGGAAGGTTGTCCTAGCAGAGGTAAATTGGTCTCCATGTCTTGTGAGACTTTCTTCTCCACTGCACTGATGCTTCTGGCAAATAGACCTGAGGGAAAGAGAAGATAAATCAACCAATGGACTGTCATGTTTGATCCCAATGTTCCCCTTTCCCTGGTTCCCTGGTTCCCAGCCCTTTCCTACTCCAGCTCTTACTTCCCTAGAGGACCCAAATGTACATCCTTCCTGCCTTTATCCCTTCCCCTAATTCTAGTTCCCCTGAGAGCCATGCTACCCTCCTTCCTGTCCAAGGGCTGAGCAGAGCCTCTATACCTGTGAGATGAAAATAGACCAGAAGCAGGCCCAGCAGAGCCCAGCTCCCTGCCACATGGCCCTGCATTGTCCTCAGCTCTAGCATCTCCCTCAGCCCCGGGACGGCCAGTCCTTTATCCTGCTCATGGGGCGGGGGACAGCAGAAACAGGCTGGGTCAGTGGTTTGAAGACAATAAATATCTACATTCCACTCTCCTTTCTAATTCGGTCTGTGGAAACAGGTGCCACTTGAATGTCCCAAAGGAAGCTAGGTGTCTCCCCAACCTGGCGTCTTTCCTTGAGCTCCCAGCCCCTTCTTGATCCAGGTGTCATGGGTCACAGCTCAATACAGGTTGCCGTCCTTACCTATCCCTTATTCCCTACATCAAGTACATGAAAACCATCACCCTTGGGGTCCAAATCACTTCAACATGTCTTCTCAGCAATAGAAAAACCCGGTTGTCTTCTCTCTCCTTGAGATCTAGATTTTTCTCCACCAGGACTTCTTTCTCAATCATCCTCATATCTCCTTTTTGTTCCCAGTAGGTGAGCTTCAGCATCTAGGGAAATAGACCTGGTTCCCATCCTTAAGAGATGATCATGTATTAGTTTCCTCTTGCTGCTGTAACAAATTACCACAAACTTGATGCTCAAAACAACACAAATTTATGATCTTACATTTCTGGAGGTCAGAAGTCCAAAATGGGTCTCATTGAGTCATAAATTAAGGTGTTGGGAAGATGGAAATTTCTCATGATAAAAAGTTTTGAAATGCCCTTGTTCTCTCTGAAAGCTCTAGGAGAGGATCCATTTCTTTGCCTTCTCTAGCTTCTGAAGACCATCTGTTCTTTGCCTCCAAGGGCATAACAGACAACTGAGATGGGGATTCTGCTCTAACTTTGGGCAAGTTAATCTCACTGAGCCTCATCTGTAAAATGGGGTTGATACCTCAAAAAAGTGTTGTGAAGATTAACTGTGATGATGTTTGTCAAAGGCCTGACCTACATAGGCACCCAATAAATGTTAGCTGTGGTTGTTAAAAAAAATAAGTCCACCTGCATAGGCTCATGGCCCTTCCTCCATCTTCAAAACCAGCAAAAGCATGTCAAGTCCTTCTCACATCTCTGACTTCCATTCTCTTCACATTTATGGACCCTTGTGATTACATTCAAAAGGAGCTCTGGTGCTGCAGTGGTTATGGTATTTGACTGCTAACCAGAAAGTCAGTGGTTCAAACCCACCAGCTTCTCTGATGGAGGAAGATGAAGCAATATACTTCCATAAAGATTAACAGCCTTGGAAACCCTATCAGGGTCCTATGAGTCAGAATCAACTTGATGGCAGTCGGTGGTTTTGGTAATTACATTGGGTCCACCCAGATAATCCAGGATATTCTCCTTACTCTAAAGTCAGTTGATTAGCAAACTCCATCTGCAGTTTTTATTTCCCTTTGTCATTTAACCAAATATATTCACAAGGCCAGGAATTAGACTGTGGATATATTTGGGAGAAGAATTATTCTGCTCATTACAGGTGGTAAGATATGTCCACAGAATATAAAAGATATAAAAAGAGAGATGTTTCCAACAGTAAAGGAAAGCATTTAAATGCTATTGTCAAATGACCATGAGTTGGTATTTATTGAAGCTGAGTGATGAAGGCATAGGGTTTCATTGACTATTCTGTCTAAATATGTTTGAAATTTCTCATGATAAAAAGTTTTGAAATGGCCTTGTTCTCTCCATCGCTTCTGGGAGGTCGCTAGACTAGGCTTCCTTGGTTGCCTGAGATCTAAACATTAGCTGTTAGCAGAGTTTCTGCTCCATCCCTATCCATACCCTCTGCCAGGTAGCTACTGGAGAAGTGAAGAGCTCCTCTCCAGAGTGGTCCTTTTGAGTGACATCCACCAATTTTGCAAAAACTCTTAACCTTGCCCACACCAGGGACTAGAGGAGTCCCCCCATCAGAGGCTGACTCACGCCTTGTGATTCCAGTCCATAAGCCTCTGATTGCCTTGATGTTAAACCAAGAAGGACTCAACCATAATGGCAGAAACAGGACTATTTTGGAGCCCTACTGGTTTCCAGACAACCCTACAGTGTTGCTGAGCCACCCAGGTCATTTCTCATCAATATATTACTTTTCTGCTTGTTCAGGACTTGGACTTTCTTTTTTATTATTATTATTGTGATTTGGGTGAAAGTTTACAGAGCAAATTCACTTTCCATGCAGCAGTTCATGCACACTTTGTTTCATGACATTGACTATAATTTACCCCAATGCAACAGCTCCCCTCCCACTTCTTCCCAATAGTTACCTCTTCCCTGTGTCCATCCCTCCATGCACTCCTGCCCCCTGAGCTGTCTCCCTGTGCATAAGCAGCCCTTCTTTCTCCCATGATTGTTCCCTCCAAGGAGTGTATCTATCTCAGGTAAATGTCAGGATTTAGACTTTCAACAGCCCTAAATTTGAGACCAAGGGTCAATTATGGTTCTGTAGCAAAATTCTCACCTTCCATGTGAGAAAACCAGGTTTGATCCCCAGCCAATGCACCTTATGCGTAGCCACAACCTGTCTATCAGTGGAGGCTTGGGTGTGGCTTTGGCTCTGAACAGGTTTCAGCAGAACTTCCAGACTAAGACAGACTAAGAGGAAAGGCCTGGCAATGTACTACCAAAAATCAGCCAATGAAAACTCTATGATCACAATGGTCCAATTTGTAACCAATCATAGGGGCGATTTAGGACTGGGCAGTGTTTTGTTCCATTGTGCCTGGGGTGGCCATGTATCAGGGGCCAGCCAACACTATCCCAAAAGGAGGGAATGGTTTAGGTCCTAAGTTAGAAATGAACTCCTTTGTAGTCAACAGAGGTTCTTAGAGGTGGCTTGTGTTTTGGATGAGGCCCTTCCATAGGGGCAAGCACAGCCCACTCTCCCCTCTTTGGGATATGAGGACTTCCTCAGCCTTAGCATCTCCCCTGCCTGTCTCCAAGATATAAGTAACATGGCCCTCAAACCACCCTCTCCATGTTCTCCCTCTCTTCTCCCATGTAGACTACCTCCCTTCTCCACTCTAGTGCTCTGCCCTCTCTTACCCAAGAGCTATGTTGCCCATAGCTCTTACCCTAGAACCACAGCAGAGGCAGCAGGAGTGTGGAGGTGGAGTGGACTCTGTAGCTTCTAGTCTCCATAAGCTGGCTGCCACTTGGCTGGGACCTTATTATATAGGCCAGTGAGTCACCATTTTTGGCTGCACTGTCATGTTTCTCGCCTCTCTTTTCTCTCTCTCTCTCTCTCTCTCTCTCTCCGCCCTTAGCTCCCAGAACACCCATCCACGTTCCTGTTCAGTCAACAGGAATCTGGTCAGAGTTGTTGTGTCCCAGGCCTTCCAAGGTTCCAGGTGTCCCAGAAACCCAAGAAATCGACTCTCAGAATTCCCAGCGAGGATGGCGTCTAGAAGGTGAGGCAAACTAATAGTACAGGAGAAGGAACCTGGGTGGGAAGGGGAAGGAAAAAAGTAAAGATCTAGAGGAGGGGAAGAATCTCAGGGTGAAGGAGGAGTGGAGAGAGAACTGATTTCCTGGTGCAATGAGGAGAGAAGTGGGAGGAAGAATCTGGGAGACCAGGCAGTCTTGCATTCAGTTCAACAAATATTTATTGTTCTCCTTTGTGGGAGGAGTATGTGAAGAAATATTAGGCCAACTTATTAACAAAAATGAAGGACACGGGGAGCTCTAGAGACAAAGAGGAGCACCACCTATATCCTAAGAGGAGACCCAGGACTCCAAAAGGTGAAAAGTCTGCATCTAGTTCACACAGTTTATTGAGCCATCTGTCCAGGATCCAGATAGTTCATGAAGCCTGCTCCAGTTTCCAAGAACATTGTAGCACATCCTCACATAGGCACCTGAGCACTGAGGGAAGTGGCAGCCAGACGGGACTGGAATGGAGATCTTGAAAGGCAAGGGGGGTATTGGGAACAGTGATTTCCAAGGGTGTGGTGAGCTCTATGATGGGGGGGTGGGGCATGGAATTGAATGTGTGATATTCCAGTGGAATACTGAGTTGTTGACCAGGTGGCAGAAAGAGTCTACCCTTTTAAACCCAAGATTAGTGAAAAGTGACCACTGTTTTCAGGTAACAATTTGCATGTTGCTTTATTTGGCAAAAGGAGAGTGGGTGGGGTGACTTGTTGTCCAGACATAGAGATCCCCACCTTCTGGGAACATTTTGGGGAATTTCCCAGTTAAGAGTCTGAATGGGTGGAGTTAGCCAATGGACTGTACCATCTCAAAGAAATGGCAGGGGAAATTTACCAAAACTAAAACCTCTGCCATCAAGTGGATGTCAACTGTCATAGCAACCCCCATTGGGTTTCTAAGGCTATAAAGCTTTATGCTTTATGCTTTATGCTCCTGTGGAGCAGCTGGTGGGTTTGAAGCCCCAACCTTCTGGTTAACAGCCAAATACTTTACCACTATGCTATCAGACTTCCTTGGGGGAAATTTAGGAATTTAGGAGTTTTATTATCTGGCAGAGAAGGTGTTGCAGTGGAATAGGAATCTAACCTGTAAGAGGGAATGAGAATAGGATTTGGGGTCTACCATTTTGGGGAGATAAGGAAAGAAGAGGTAATGATGAAAGTCTGCTACATTGGGGTAATGGAGGAGTAGAGCGTCTCTGCAGGGAGGAAGGAAGGAAACCGAGTTAACACCATGACTGGATCCCTGGACTTCTCCCACTTGGTGGATGATATGCCATATATGTGTACCCACATGTTCACATATGCAAAAGCTGACTTATGGACTCTCGGGTATCTCTTCCTGGGGGAGAAAAACTTCAGGGTCAGCTAGCTGGGGCCCCAGAGGTTTCAGATGGGCCAGGATGTCCCGGATGGAGCGACAGGGGATCTTTCCAGAGACGCTGGGACCACAGGGCTTAGCACCAGCTGAGGGGTCAGGTTGGTGAGAGCCAGCAGGACCCCCACTCAATGATGAGGAGGAGACAGAAATGCAAGGGCTACCAGAAGAGCTAGACTTGCTGCCACAGGGCTTAAGAATGATTGTGCCACTGGATTGGGAGCTGGAACTGCTGCTTAGGGAGCCAGTGCCTGGTGGGGAGCAAGGCCCCTGAGAAACACTGCCACAGGGATGGAAGGATGAACTGGAACTGCTGGAACTGCTAGAACTACTGTGGACTCCAGAACTGGAGAGGGAGCAGGGCCCCTTGGAGCCTGTGGAACCAGCCCTACAAGGCTGGACCCCACCAGAGCCCACGGGCTGGAACACAATGGCTGCAGAATCTCCAGATTGGTAGATGCTGGAACTAGAAGAGCTTTGGCTGGGGATTATAGGATTGCTAGAAAAGTATTTGCCCTCAGAGATGGGGGGCCCAGCTGCAAAGGAGGGGACTCCTGGGGAGCCTTTGACAGGGTTCTCTTTGGTGAAGTACCCCACGGGGTAGATCTTTCCCCCACTGTAGGTCATGCCAGGAACCAGATAGCTGTTAGAGGAGCCACCTACTACCTCATAACCACCATAGGATTTATCGACCACAGAGGTGATAGGGGGGCAGGGCTTTCCTGAAAGGCCACCATTGTTGCAGGGGACACCTTGAACCAGTCCAGGGCCACCAGGGCCACCAGAGCCATGCTGCTCCACCACCACCACCACTGGCCTCTGACCCCCTGACACGGTGTGGGAGCCAGAGGTATAGGAGCCAGAGTGTGAGACAATGGGGCCTCCACTGCAGGGAGAGTCTGGAACATCTGAACTACAGGGGTGCACATTAGAGCTGACACTTTGGCCACCACTGCTGGACATCCAAGAGGTTTTGGAAACAGACGAGCTTAAGCTTCCTCCAGTCAGGGAAGGTCTTATTACCACATGGGAAGAACCATCGCTGAGGACTGAAGCTGAGCTAGACCCTGATTGGGAGCTGATGCTTCCAGCCTGGGGGATGTTGGATGGATTTTGTAGAGCAGAGGCAGATCCGGAGGAATAGCTGATGTGGGAATACCCTGTTCCTGGTTTAAATACTGAAGATCCTGAAGGACCACCCTGGGAGACGCTGTATCCACTGGACCCACTGCTGAAGACACTGGAAGCACTAGAACCACTGCTGGAGCCGCCACTGGATCCACCATTGGGGACGCCATTGGAACTGGAAACAGAACTGCTAGAGCCGCTGGAGCCACCCTTCCCAGCGAAGCAGGGATCATTGAGAGAGATGATACGCCTGGGGTCCTTGCAAGGGTCTGAGAAGGTCCCGATGCTCTTAGCCAAGGTCCCTGGGGAGAGAAGTAGTGATTAGTAAGGACCAGAGAGGGTAGCTCTCTCCCTCAAGCCTCAGCCCACTCCAGTCATCTGCCATTCTGACTTCTCCCAGGAGGAGCTCAGGGAGGGCTTGGAGTGGAAAAGGGAAGTACTGACTGTTGAGTCTCTGAAGGCTGTTCAGATGGCAGAATAAAGACAGTTACATGTATTTGGGGAGGCAGAGAGGCCAAAGATCCACCACAAAAAAAGAAAAAGGAACTCAGAAGTGAGAAGCCTCAAAGAAGTAAGCTGAAGACAAGAGGGAATGGAGAAATGGCAAGAACCAACAGATCTAAAAGAAAGAACCCCAAATACACAGAATGGGGGGAGACCAAAATTCTGAGAGGTGGGGGCATAGAACCTGAGGAAATAAATTCTGGAGGAAGCTGTGGTCCAAATGGAAGTAGAAGGCGAAAGACAAAATGGGTGTGTGGGGTGGTAGAGGAGACTAAGAAGGGAAGGAAAAATATTAAAGAAATGCAGAGAAAAGAGAAATCAAGTGGCAAAGGGGATGAAATAAGGGACAGAATACCCAAGGACTAAGATTCAGTCACCTTCCTATGAGAGTCCTGGCCTGGGTGACAAGTGGAAATCCCATTTACTGTATCAGCACTGTCCATGCCAGTAAAGTTGGGTGGGGGCCAGGACATGGGGGCACCCACTTGTTACTTCAGAACCTGCTGGTACCAGTGCAACAGGACACCGCACCCAGAGACACCCCTCTGCTTGCTGGCCCAGCCCAGGGACACCAGGAGGCAACTCTTCTCTAAGGCTGGTGACCATTCTCAGCCATCAGACACATACACCTACCTGCCTGTCCCCCACCCAGGCCCACATCTGACTTCTGACTTTTTTGTCTTGGGAATGGGGAACCACTGATTGCCTTAACTGACTCTTTGCTCTCACCAACACTCAGGCTCCCACCAACCACCATCCTTCCTCAGGCCCCAAGTGGCATGGACAGAGCTACATGCTAGCTGTGGCATTGGGCAAATGACTAAACCTCTCTGAGCTTCAGTTTATATATCCCGAGAGGCTGGCCTGTCCATTCTTCCTCACAGCATTACTGTGAGGACTGTGAGAAAATCTACATGGAAGATGTTTTGAAAAATATAAAACATTTTGCATTATGATTTATAATTGCCACTCATCCTGGAATCCCCACCAGCAACCAGATCTTCATAATGAGTGATGCCCACACTCTCTCCTCAGAAAAATGAATTATCTGCATACCTCTCCTTGCCAAATCCCTACTCTGCCCACAATCCCATTCATTCCACTGCACTAATTCAATAAGCATTTCTTCTCTCCTCCCCTGTGCCCCCATAAACACACCACAGGCCCTGCTCTCCACCCATCCAGACCACAGGGAAGGTCACAGAAACTCCTCAAGGGCACAGGCCCTGGAGCCACCCAGCCTGGGTTTGGATCCCAGCTTCCTGCTTCCAGACTTTGTGATCTTCAGCCAGTACCCTAACCTCTTCTAGCCTCATTGTTCCCATTTGTAAAATGGGAATAATAAATCTTCTTTCACCACTGTAATGACCAGAAGTGCTAATGCATTTAAAGTGCTTAGTGTCTGGCACAAAAAGGAAAGGGGGGGGGGGTGTTCTATAAATGGTAGCAATTATTATCACTGCTAAATATCCAATCCTGCTCTTCCAGCCCTCTAATAACAATAATAATAACAAAAACAACACAACAACAGTTATATAATCCTTTAGAATTCCCAAAGGATGGGTCACTTACATTATCTGAGACACAGAGAGGCTGTGGCTTGGTATTATTAATGGCCTGTTTTAGAGTTTTGGAAAAGGAGGCTCTGCAAGTTTATGTAACTCTCCTTAGGTGACAAGGCAGTGAGGAACAGCTCAGGACTCACAATATCAGATGGCAGAGTGCCTGCCTTCCCTCTCATAATTGTGTCCTCCTCAGGATACTTCCTGCATGAACAGTGACCTCTCCCAGGCACTGGATCCCCTTAGACTTCCTGACTGGTGTGCCCGTCCCAACTGTCCTTCCCACTCCCCTTGCTCCCAGAGCCCCAGCCTCCTACCTGGCAGGAGAAGAGCAGCCAGCAGCAAAGCCATCATTCCGTGCCCTCCCACACGCCCTGTCCGGGATGCCCGTGAGAAGGCCATCTCGGACCCTGCAGCTGACTGACAGCAGCTCGTGGACACGCGGTCCTTTATGCCAGGGCTGGACATTCTCCAGGCAGGAGTCACTATGGGCAGGGGAGAAGAGGAGGAGGGACGGGTGCCTGGGGGAACTTGGCGTGGCAGGGAGGAGCCCAAGTAATCAGTGGGGAGCATCTGTCAAGTCAGCAGCAGCGGTGACTGGAGTGTTGGGTACCCATGACCACGGGGCCAAGCAACTCCTGCCACCTGACCGGCCTGCCCCTGGCTCCTCATTTATGTGTTGCCCAACATGGAAACTGCCCCAACAGCTGCCCACTCTCAGACAGCCACTCTCACCACGGGAGCCAATCACCTGGCTGCTTCATTCTCCTCCCTCCTGGTGTTTGCCTGTCCCCTGATCTCCATCCTCCCCTATTCCCAATTCCCTGTCTTCCCTCTACTCACAGACATGGACATCTCAGCTTTCCCTCCCGGATCCAGCCCAGCCTACCCACCCCACTGGGATTGCCACCACAGCGGTTGATTCTACCCTTTTCCTTGAGATCCTGTCACTCAGCCTCAACTTTCCTCCTCCAAACATAAAGATCCAACCCCCTTCCCCCTGCCCCAGGTTTCTGCCTCTTATCACTGCCCAGTACCAAGGCTGCCACACACCTTTTCCATCCATCAATGAATGAACCTTTTTCCTCTTTAAAACTAGGCATCCACATTCCAAAAACCCACTCCCTCACCTCTCCTTTCTGGGGGACTCCCGGGATTGCTTGAGACGGGGGGGGGGGTTGGGTGCAGGGCCTCACCCTATGGGGAGGCCTGGTCAGGGGCCCCTGTCATAGCTGGGCCTCAGTTACTCACAGGCCACTCACAACCCCTCCCCCACAGCCAATGACCCTGAGCAAGAGGCTAATAAGGCTAAATTGGGAAGGTGGTGGCCCTACAGGCAATTAGCTTGCTCCCTGGCCTGGATGAGTGAACAGGAAGCAGCCAGCTCACATTTAGGTAGCACAAGGGAGGGCCAGGTAGCTCCTGGGTTCCTAAAGGGTAAAGGACCAGGATCAGGAAAGCCAAGATTGGAGGCCTGGAATCTGGGACCTACAAAGAGAATGTTGGTTTCTCCTCTATTTCATTCCCCTCCCTCTTGCTTCGGTCCTGGCTACACCCCAACCAGGTAATTGCTCACTAGTATTGCAGAGAGTATCAGTATCGGAGGGAAGGGCCAGGAGTTGGGTCAAGCTGCTCTCTCCCCTCCCCAGGCCCACCCTAGATTGGGCCGCCTGGAGGAGCCCCTGCTCACCTCACCGTCTTCCGTTTGCACAATGGAAAGACTTCTCGCAAAGGCAGTTCCATCCCCAGAAGCCCGTGGGCTGGGCTTTTCCTTTAACTCTGACCCAACACTGTCCAATAGAACTTTCTTCAATGATACAAATGCCCTATACCTGGGCTGTTAGTACAGTAGCCACTAGGCACATGTGGCTATTGGGCACTTCAAATGGGGCTAGTATAACTGAGGCCCTTAACTTTGCATTTTGTTTAATTTAAGTGTAAATATTAACATGCAGCTAAGGGTTACCAACTAGTATAGCCCTTGACTTTCTACCAGCACTCAGAATGGAGTTGGGAAGAGCTGTGAAAAGATGAGACAGAATGTGGTAGCATGCCCTAAAGAGGGCTGATACAGTGGTTTTAGAAGCAGGATGACTTGAGTTCAAGTCCCAACTAGCCCCTTGGCTTTGGGCAACTTTCTGAAGTTTAGTTTCCTCATCTGTAAAATGGGTGTATTTTCAATTATGCCTGCTTTGCAGGATTTTAATGAAGATCAAATGAGAAATGATCATAAAAATGAACTGCGATGAGGAGTGTAGCCTGCCTCACAGGTGCTCAGCAAATTCTGCCCCCTAGATGCCCCCATCTGCCTCCTCCAATGGTAGGAAAGCAAATAGGATGGGTTTGCCCCACAGCCCCAGACACTAGCTCTCTCTCCTGAGGATCCAGCCCAGCTGACTCTAGAAGAATCTCCTCTGCTTTCTTCCTGCCCTCAGAGAGAACAACAGACCCAAACATGTAGACAGGCATGCTATTTAACATGGGGTTGCTCTTTCCTAATGTCAATAGTGCCTCTCCCGCCTTCAGTCTGTTCCCTCCCAGACTTTCAGGCACTGGCTCAATCCCACGTCCCATCCATTCTAGGGACTTAGGAGAAGCAGGGAGGGAACACTGGGAGCCAGGAGGGGCGTGGCAGAGAAGAGAGAGGGGTCAGGAACCAGTTCCCAAGTGTGGGTAGAGGGAAGACAAAGGAACTGCAGGGCCTGTGGTTTGGTCATTCTTTTCCAACACAAACTTCCTCAACAAGCCAGAGGTGGCACAGTTTGCCTTGTTTTCTTCCTCACATTCCTCTCAGGTGCTGTCAGATGACCAGGGCTGAGGAGGCACAGTCTCTCTCGGCCTCCCGCCAAACTTCCAGCCTCCCACACAACTCTCGTGTTCAGCCACATTCCTTCTTCTCGCTGCTCTCCTCCTGGCCACTCTGTCCCCTCCTGTCCAGCCCTCTCCTCTCCACCCTAACACCCTGGTTAGCCTTATTTCTCAACTGTCCTCCCCACATCTGGGCCCCACTGAGCTTCACTCCCCATTTTTTACTGAGATCTTATCCTCTCTGCTGTGTTTTATCTTCTGTGTTCCAAGGGACTCACCAGTAACCTTTCTCCCAGCTCAAGAAGTGAAAACCTGAAACTAATGGGGCCAAGGAGGAAGAAGAGGGAAAGGACAACGGACAATGCCCAGCACAGGCCAGAGGCATCTTCTGGAAAACTCACCCACTTGATGATGCCCATGGCAGTGCCGGCAGGTCTGATGCATCCTACAGCCTCAGAATCTACCCCTAACCCCAGCCAGTGAGTGCCCAGACCAATAGATGGATTGGATGTAAGAGATGGTACAGGCCAACCCAGCCCCACCAGAAGAAACCAAGCTCAAGGCAAGTGCCTTCTACAGGCAAAGAACTGGATTTGATTTTTGCTCCCTTAGTTATAGTCTAGGAGCTCTGGTGGCATAGTGCCTAAGGCATTTGACTACTAACCAGAAGGCTGGTGGTTCAAACCCACCAGCCACTCCTCAGAAGAAAGGTTGGACAATATACTTCTGTAGTGATATCATCTCAGAAACCCAAGGAGGGGTTGCTATGAGTCAGATCCAACTCAATGGCAGTGAATTTGGTTCTTTTTTTTTTTTTATTTTTAACTATAGTCTAAGCAACCAAGTCTAAGTAATCCTCAGTGAGATGGATTGACACAGTGGCTGCAACAATGGGTTCAAACATAACAAAGACCAAGAGGAGAGAGTAGGACCAGGCAGTGTTTCATTCCATTGTGCATGGGGTCACTGAGTCTGAACCCACTCAACGGCACCTAACAACAACAGCAATAACAAATAACACCAGGCTAGAGTTCCTGGGTGCTGCAAATAGTTAATATGCTTGGCTGCTAACGGAAAGGTTGGAAGTTCAAGTCCACTTCAAGGTGCCTTAGAAGAATGGTCTGGTGACTTACTTCCAAAAAATCAACCACTGGAAACCTTTGGAGCACACTTCTGCTCTAACACTCATGGGATCATCATGAGTCAGAATTGACCTAAGAGCAACTGGATAACATCAGCCTGAAGGAATGTGGATTTTATAAGAAATGGAGTGAATGTGGGAGGGCACAGGGAACTGAAGGATTTTGAATAGAACAGCTGACTCTAGAACAATCAGCTCTTCAAAATTAATTATTATTTCATTTAAATTCATTTAAGTGTAAACACCCACTTGCAGCTAGGGGCTACCATCTAGTCCAGCCCTTGACAACATGTGTTATCTGTGTAATCATCACAATGACCTTACGGGTCAAGTTCTTTTTCTTCCTATTTCACAGAGGAGGAAACTGAACTTACATTATTTGCCCCAAACAGCACACTAGTGTGCAGAAGAGTTTGAAAAGAAAACCCAGGCTTGTCGGTCCCATTAGCCCCACACAGCTGATATCATGCTATATATTAATGGCAGTGGCTCAGGGACAGACCTCGGAGGTTTCTTAATCCTGTAAGAACATGTGCCAAACCCCTTGTGTGTGTGCATCTTTCTAGAGAAAGGGTCTCAGCTTTCATCCAAGTCTCAAAAGTTAAGAAACCCTAACTAAGCAGGAGAGTCCACAACACACTCTGTGTTCCCCACTCATCCATGGACTTGGCTGCCTCTTCAGCCCTAAAAGTCAGGACAGAAGCTTTAGAACAAATTTTGCATGCAGGAGTCCTTGGTAGACCCAGGGCTTAGGCTTGGGAGAAGAGCAGGAAAAGTGAGTAAAATGAGATAGGAAGAAATTTGAAAATGGGGGAGCTCTGGTAGCATAGTGCCTAAGGCACTTGACTGCTATCCAGAAGGCTGGCGGTTCAAACCCACCAGCCACTCCTCGGAAGGAAGATGGGGCAATCTACTTCCGTAGTGATACTGCCTCAGAAACCCAACAAGGGGTCGCTATGTGTCGGGTCCAACTCGAGGGCACATAACAACAACAACATACTGAGTGAAACAAGCCAGTCACAAAAAGACTAATGTGGTGTGGTCCCATGTACATGAAATATCTACTATAGGCAAATACATAGAAATCAAACCTTGTTGGTGGTTACCAGGGGTGGTAGAAGGAGCCCACCAGGGGTTAAGTGCTTAGCTGCTAGCCGAACAGTTGGTGGTTCAAAGCTACAAGCCACCCCTCAGGAGAAAGATGTGGCAGTCTGCTTTCAGAAAGATTACAGCCTAGGTTGGCGGCTCAATTGCACCTTGAGGTGCCTTGGATAAAAGGTCTCATGATCTACTTCCAAAAACTCAACCACTGAAACCTATGGCACTCTTCCATTCTGGGTCACTATGAGGAATTGACTGGAAGGCAACGGGCTTGGTTTTTGGTTGGGAGGGATGGTTGGGAAGGAGAGGAAAAGGAAGACAACAGCACTTAGGAAACACTGAACTTCAGTTA